TGGTTTTCACTGCTCTCCCTCCCTGGTCCCTGCCCTCCACCCCCACCCCTTGGTCCCTTTTCTCCTTCTCTCTCTCGTTTCAGAAAAGAGGCCCGCTCTGCAGCCCCCTCGGGGACGCCCCCACCAGCTCAAATTCCGAGTGCAGAAAAGAAACCGGACCCCCCAGTGAGGCCTGCCAGGCCTCCCGGACCCTTTGTTACTCAGGAACCTCACCTTGGACGGAATGGGATGGGGGCTTCAGTGCCCGACCACCCCCCACCTCCGCTCTGCCATTCCGGCCTGCCTCCTTCTGGCCGGACAGAACTGGTGCTCTCCTCTCCCCTTGTCCCCCCCTCCCATGGACAGGGGACCTTCCCTGCCCCCACTCCCTCCCATTTTGATGGTGTCTGTGACATTTCCTGTTGTGAAGTAAAAGAGGGACCCCTGCGTCCTGCTCCTTTCTCTTGCAGTCTGCTTGTCCGTGTGTCTGTTTTTCCACTTGTCCGTCTGTCCAGTAAGCAGGTAATGGTAGAGGGTGCCCATGTTGGTCAGCTCCAGCCCCCAGCCCTCCCTCCACCCCACTTCTACTTTCTCTCCCCACAGCTGGGCCACTCAGCTGGCTCCGCTGGATGCACTGCCCTGGACCCCACCGTGGCCTTGGCCCCCCCGGGGGGAGGAAACCCAGCCAGCCTCCCGCTTCCCCTGGGGTGACCACCCCGACCTCAGCCCTGCACAGACCTGGGCCCGCCTTGTTTGCTCCCCTGCAGACAAGGACGAGTGCTCCAAGGATAACGGCGGCTGCCAGCAAGACTGCGTCAACACCTTCGGCAGCTATGAGTGCCAGTGTCGCAGTGGCTTCGTCCTACATGACAACAAACACGACTGCAAGGAAGGTAAGCGCTGCCAGTGCAGCGCCCAGAGCCCCTAGGGCAGGGCCAGCAGGCCCAAAGGACTGGAGGCTGGGGACACGAGGACACGGGTGCCATCTCCATCTGGCCCGGTGTAGACTCAAGGTCACGAGTGGTCTCTGAGGTTACCTTGTTTTGCCTCCCACCTGGCCCACAGATTCTTCCATCCTCAAAATATCCAAGCCACACATGCTTCCGTGTCTCCTTGTGCATGTTAGGAGAGGAGGGGCTCACACTCATCCCCAGGCTCCATTTTTAGACTGATCTTAGTGCTTCTTAAAATCCATGGGCAAGTCCTTGTCTTCATAACGACCTTCCTGTGGCAGAGAGTCGAGATGGCACAGAGGTCGAGAGCACAGGCTGGAGCCAGGCTACCTGGCCCAGCCCCACTGCTTAGCCAGCTGCGCACCCTTGAGCACTTCTGTTTGTTCCTGTGTGACACGTAGGTCACAATAGACCTACCTCATCAGGGCACAGGGCTCTCTGAAGTGCTCCAAGCAGTGCTGAGCTCATAGCAAGAACAGTCGTATGTCAGCCGTTATTGGTCACACTGCTGACCCCTGGGGACATTCAGAACAGGGTCACCGCCTCCCAGACACTAAAGCCCTGCAGATATTTGAAAACAGCACTCATATCATCACCAACATCATCTGATAGCTCTTTGGACATGCTACAACACTGGCCTGTTCCAAGTCCCGAATGCCGTTGTGTCCCCCGCTTGCTGGGGCATACTATCCCAGCAGCACAACACAGACCTGGCTCTGCCACTGAATGTCTGTGTGACTTTGGGTGAATTACTGCACCTCTCTGAGCTTCCAGTTCCTCACCCATGAGATGATTAACAATGGTAACTGCCTTGCAGCATACTAAAGTTTACAGATCTTGCTTGAACACTTAGCACAGTGCCTGGCAAATGCCTCTTCTCACTGTTCTTAGGTGGACAACCAAGGTATAAACAAATAAACTCCCGGATAAAATAAACAGAATTGAAGCACTCAGCAGTGACCCAATGGACACTAAAGAGCTTCCAACCCGATTACTTCGGTCTACCCAAATACGAAGTTCCTGATTCACAGGGCCTCCACGTCTTTTAGCTGGAGGGGACCTTATTCTGTGGTTGTCCAAAGTGCATTCTCTCTCTGTGTGTACTGTGTGAAAAAGAGTACATCAACATTAACAAGATAGCTGTGAGAGGTTTTACACTTCTAGGGTGGACGACCTGTACATAGCTGAGTCATTTTTGAAGCACTCATGATTCCTCACTCAAATGATAGGCAAATTACAAATCAGTATTTCCTGACTCCTCCTTGCAGAGGTTGTGCAAAGTTCTGCAGGGACCTCAAGAGGGGAGTTCCTCTGGGGTGCCTGGTTGGCTCCGTTGGTAGAGCATGCAACTCTTGATCTCAGGGTCGTGAGTTTGAGCCCCACATTGGGCATAAGGCTCACTAAAAAAAAAAAAAAAAAAAAAAGAGGGGAGTCCCTCTGCCCCCAGGAAGATTGCAGTCTAGCCATGGGAGAAGTGGGCACACACAGAGAAGTTAGGGGGCCCCAAAGACCTGTGTATAAATGGGGGAGAGCAGCGAATGTGGCCTTGGAGAACCACAGAAGGATGATGGACACAGCCCATAGGTCCACTGTGGAGAGCCAGGAGCTCTACCTGCCTCCACAGGGCCTCTGGGCAGCCTGCACACTGCTCTCTGGGCCTCATGGCTGTGTATTCATCCTGTGAGCCGCTGACCATAGGCACCTATCCATCCCTTTCTCCTCCCCAGCCCACAGTGCACTGGCCGCCTGTTTTTCCCCAAGAAACCTATCAGATTGGATGATAATAAATCATGAACATCAGCTTTTAAATTCGTTTGTGAGGCCACACTCTCAGAGGTGGGAAGGCAGATTGCAATGGATCAAAGAGCCATAAACAGTGAGAATGGGGTAATAGCAAGTTTTCTTGAAGAACAACTGAGAAGAAAAGGAGAAAGGATGGGTGGCAGCTAGAGGGGAATGTAGGGCTGTGGGGGAGTTACTTTAGGATGGGGCAAAGCATAGGAGGGTCCACAGGCTGGCAGAGATGGCACAGAGAGTGAGGGTGGATAATTTGTGGTACAAAGGTACCCAGGTGGACCTGGGACTCCTTTTTGGAGACAAGGAAGGAGGAAGGTGAGTTTGCAGGGAGGGGCTGGGAAGCTGAAGTTGTTCATATCTGAGGCCCTGATTTTTTTCAGGGAGGCAGGAGGTGAGGTGATCTTCTGAGAGGGAAGGGATGGGAGTGGAGAGGGCTGAAGATTTGGAGCCGTTGTTGAGGAGGTAAGGGGTGGAGGTGGTGAAGGACAGATCCAAGAGTATCAAGTGGTTTCGGTTCCCAGTGGTTGAGGCAGATGGGGTTTTCCGAGAGGACACAGTAGAAGGACAGTATGATGATGAGCAGCTGGGGTGATCAGCCATATAGTCCAGCCAGATAGGGAAGCAAGTTAAGTCAACCAAGGAGGAAATATTGGGAGAAAATAGAAGGATCAAGACCCTGGAAGTCTCTCTAAAGCTGAAGAAGTGTTGAAAGGATAGTGAGGGCCTGAGCACCCTGGAAGAACAGGAAGTGGTCACAGAGAGGTGATGTGTTTGTAGCATCAGGAAATGGTAGGTGATGGCAAGGCCTAGAGTAAGGTCATGAGCAAGCCCTGCTTGAGAGGAAGAAGATAAGTGCCAATAGAGCTGAGAAGGTCAGGAACAGAGAGGCTAGAGTGTTGGCTGACATCGCCTGGGATGGCAGCAGGAATGGGTATAGAACTGAGTCAGGTGCCAAAGTCTTCTGTGAATGTGGAAGTGTGGCAGGATACCAGAGGATGACAACATCATGGAGGGCAGAGGGGGTGTGGCCGGAGGCCTCAAAGGTCCAGGGATCTGCACGGGAGTGCCTGTGAGGGCGGCTTTCATGGATGCTGCCAGGCAGACCTCGCTTGGAGGCAAGCAGCTAGATTTCCCCGGCCATGGGTAACCGAACAGAAAAGAAGTAATGTAAGCCTTCCATCAGTTTGTAGGTGGGGGACAAGAGAAAGAAACAAGGAGGGCAGGAGGGAAGGGCTTTGTTCCTTTCCTCACAGGAGGCACTAGAGCACCAAGGCTCTTGCTGATCCCTTTACCTTCACTTCCCCACAGCCGGCTGTGACCACAAGGTGACATCCACCAGCGGCACCATCACCAGCCCCAACTGGCCTGACAAATATCCCAGCAAGAAGGAGTGCACCTGGGCTATCTCTAGCACCCCTGGCCACCGGGTCAAGCTGGTAAGGTACCCACACCCCAGCCTGCATGGGGACCCCTGCTCTTCCATGCCATCGGGCTACCACCTGTTTCCTATCAGTTCCAAAGCTCTGGGTAATTCAGAGGTCCTGACCAGAGCCATGCAGACTGCGGGCTGGTGGCCTGGCTGAGCCCACAGGGCTGTCATCCCTGTGAGGATCCTCATGAGCCCCAAGTCTGGTCTGGACAGAGGCCCAGTCCCAGTACATATTGGGGGTGTGCCTGCCATTACCCATTCCCGGGTCCTCCCTCACTGCTACCAGCAGTGCCCCTGGCAGGGGCTGCTTCCCTGGTCTCCATCAGCTGGGGTCTGGAGGCCTAGATTTGGGGCCACCTGCTGCCCCCCCCCCAGACGCATTCTGAACTTGCTGTCCTCCCTCGTGCCCTCTAGACCTTCATGGAGATGGATATCGAGTCCCAGCCTGAGTGTGCCTATGACCACCTGGAGGTGTATGATGGCCGTGACGCCAAGGCCCCCGTCCTGGGCCGCTTCTGTGGGAGCAAGAAGCCTGAGCCTGTCCTGGCCACGGGCAGCCGCATGTTCCTGCGCTTCTACTCCGACAACTCCGTCCAAAGGAAGGGCTTCCAGGCATCCCACTCCACAGGTAAGGCCATCTAAGGTAGCCCAATGTCCTCACACTGTCTTGTTCTGCGAGCTTCTGCTGATCCTGCTCTCACAGGCAGGCCCAGGCTCTGGAGTTTCACAGGGGGATTAGAAAGAGTGTATGAAGGGACAGATGGACAGAGCTATGGCCTGGGTAGACAGAGACTGTGTTCTGAGGGCCGGGCAGGGGAGCAGAGAGTGAGCACTAAAGGGAGAGTGGGAGAGGTCCCGATTAGGGGCCACTAAGTTGCCGGAAAACAGAGGGCAGTGACGCTAGTGGGTGGGGAATCCAGGGATGGGGAGGGAAGCCCCACAGTCCCCAGCGGTAGGACGCCTGACTGTGTGGCAGCCCACCCACATTCCAAACCCAAAAGTCACTCGTCTAGAGATATTTATTAACACATAACATGTATGATGAAGCAGTGCTCTAAGTGCAGGTCACAAAAATGAAGCAGACAAATATCTCAGGCCTTGAGGGGCTACTTAGTGATCGTTTGTCCATTTATCTAACAACCATTTGCTGAGCTCTGGCTGTATGCAAGACTCAGAGGGGCTTATGGAGGTGAATCAGGCATGAGCCCTTCACCCCTGCGCACCAGGAACTCACGGTCCAGAGGTGAGGTGGGACGTGCACAGATAGTTATAGCATGAGACAAAACATGATAAGGTCTAGCTCTGGGCAGGAGTTGGTGGGGTCATTCCAGCAGGGGGAGGAGCCCAGGCACAGCCACAATCCCAGGACAGCTCTGGGTGTGTACAGGTGACCGCAGGTCATTTCGTTTGGCCTGAGCAATTGGTATGTAAAGACAGGACAGTAGTGAAGTGGAAACAGTGCAGCAGTAGAGGAAGCCTGGAGCCCAGGCTTGGGAGGCCTGGAACATCAGGTGTCAGATGGGGGCTTCACAGGCTCCTTGTGGGTCTTGAGCCACCTGTTGCGGAGTCCCCAGGACTGCTGGGTCCAGAGCCTCTCATCCTTCCTTGTAGCTCAGGCCCTGTCCCACCCCCTCCTCACCCCTCCAGGGAGACATAAGCACCAGATTTCCTAGAGGCCAGAGGGCTTCCAGAGGAGGATGGACGCTGAGGACCCTGTCCTGCGTGCTCTCATTTGCCCCTCCCAGCAGAGGGTCACAGACTGGAAGCCCAGAACTCTATCTGGCCCTCAGTTCCGCTCTGTTTGGCCCACAGTGTGTTTTTTAAAAATGTGAGCCAACATTGAAAAATCAAGAGTTTTCGCAGAAAATCCAGATGTCGTTCTTCTCTCTTAAGAATGGAAGCCCTGGCAACGCAGGGCCCACATTCTTCCATGACAGCCATCAGCTGGAGCAAATTAGCAATGTGCTCTTTTGACAAGCGTGCCCTCCCCAGTGCCTCAGCTCAGAGTTGCCTAACAGCCCGGTGTGTCCCTGGTCCTCTGTGGGTATCTATCCAGAAGTAGAGCAGCAGAGCACTTGTTCTGGGCCATGTCCCAGGCAGGTCCAAACCCACTCGCCCCTAGCCATGTGGCCCTCTCTCCATCGAGCCATGAGGGTTCAGCACAGTGAGGCGCGGTACCCTGTCCCTGGCCATGCTCGGGGAGTGGTGGCCAAACCTGTTGCTCCTCCCCCACAGAGTGTGGAGGCCAGGTTCGGGCAGAGGTGAAGACGAAGGATCTTTACTCCCATGCGCAGTTTGGTGACAACAACTACCCTGGGGGGGTGGACTGCGAATGGGTCATCGTGGCAGAGGAAGGATATGGCGTGGAGCTGGTGTTCCAGACCTTCGAGGTGGAGGAAGAGACAGACTGTGGCTACGACTACATGGAGCTCTTCGATGGCTATGACAGCACAGCCCCCAGACTGGGGCGCTACTGCGGCTCAGGGGTGAGACCCCGCCCCCTGCCCAGTGCCCTTGCCTCTGCAGGTGTGGGGTGCCGGTATGGGTGCTAGCACATGCCTGGCCCTTTGCAGGAGCTGGGAGACCCTGCCTGGTGGGTGGCTGCTCACAGAGGCCCGCCCTGCCCTAGGCCATCCCCACCCAGGAAACTCTGTCCTTTTTTGCCCAACACTGTGGTTTCTGCATCCTCTGGGACAGGCCCTGCCCTGACCCAAGCCTGCTCAGCACCAGTTTGTTTGGACCTACAGGGTAGCTTGCATCCGGGGAGGTGGATGGAGTTCCCTCTACCACCCCCTTCCCCCCCCCCCCCCCCCCCCCCCCCCGCCCTTGTTCCAGTTCCAAAGCAGCTTACCAGGGCCCAGGGTCGGGGGCAGAGGTTGAAGCAAAAGCCAGGGACCTAGGACCTGAGCCGAACTGTGCTAACCAGTCATCTGGCTGAGCCATAAAAACACCCTCATCTCTTCCACTGCCAGTTTCCCTTCTTGGTGGGAGGCCAGCTGGTCCCAAAGCCCTTGGTGCTACTGTCCAAGCAGACACTGAGCATTGCTTCTTGGTCCATAAAATGGCACTTTCAGAGGCAGTGGGCAAAAGTTTGCTTGATTTTAACTGAAGCCACAGGAAAATGACAAAGGTGGATTTATGTTCCTCTCAGAGCTGTGGCTTCTTTTTGTTTTTGTGAATCCTTTCCCCTTTCGGAGAACACCGTCTTCTCCTCTCCATTACACACCCGTGCATGCGTGTGCACACACACGCACACAAATACACACGCCCTCCTGCCCCTCACTTCCCTGGTCCCTCACCTCTCTCATGGCTATGCTCCAGTGTAACCTGGGCACCTTAGGAAGTGTTAAACTTCCTTCCTGGAGCAGCAGCAGCATCTGCTGGGCCTAGCATTAGCCAGCTGAATGTGCCCTTAGGACAGAGCTTCTGCTTCACAGGGTCTGGGACAGGGCAGAGAGGTGGGGGGGTGGGGCAGGAGCAGAGCACATAGGCCCCTCCCCTGCCTGGCTCACCACTCTGGAATCCCCTGGTCACCAAGCCGGCACCCCCTCCCCATTTTGCCCTTTGTAACTCCCTTGATCTGGCACATTCCAGTGAGCCACACACCAAATTGGGTGTCCCCAGGTGGCTTCTTGCAGACACTTCCACCAGGCTGGAGCCAACGGGAGGGAACCTGGGGAAGGAACCCAATCCTGTCAGGGCTTCCTGGCAGGGTTGCTGGAAATGTCCCCAAGGTTCTCGGAAATGATGCTTTCTGTGCCTTGAGAGCCAGGGCATCCATGTGCTGAGGCTCTGTGGGCGGCTCTCTGAGGGCCTGTACACAGAGGTAAGGAGGGGCTTGCAGGAGCTAGGCCGGGGCATCGCCTAGAGCCAACCATGGCCAGAACTGGGGGAGGATGGGAGGGGAATGGCCACAGCTATGTCTGGAGGACCCAGCTATTCTGTCTTCTCCGAGAGGCAGCTGAGACAGTGAGAAGGTAGCCTCTCAGAGAACCCACTCCCTTTGCAAAACCCATTCACAACCACACTCTCATTTGCTCCCTCCCACAACCCCCATCAGCCCTTCTGAGCTTGGAGAGCAGGGAGCATTTACTCCCGCTTGCCCTTGAGGGAAGTGAGGCCCAGAGGGGGACAGTGCCTTGCCTGAGACTTCACAACTAACTTGTTAATAGCAGCGTTAATAGCAGCGCTGGGTATGAAGTGTGACTCTGAACTTAAGGCAAGCTCCTCTATCCCCTGCTTTTCTTCCCCTCCTCCAGGTGTCCCCTTAAACTCTTGCTATCAATAGTCTTCCCCCTGCTTCAAGGGGCTGGGGGAATCTGGTGAATGTCTGGGAGCCGCCCACCTTCCTTAGAGCGGGGGATCCTGGGGAGGAAAAACAGCAGCCTCAGCCTCATGCCCATCCTTTTCCTCTGTCAGCCTCCTGAGGAGGTGTACTCGGCCGGAGATTCTGTCCTGGTGAAATTCCACTCAGATGACACCATCACCAAAAAAGGCTTCCACCTGCGGTTCACCAGCACCAAGTTCCAGGACACACTGCACAGCAAGAAATGACCACTGCCTCACACGGGGGCGGGGACGGGAAGCCTGCTGCCCTCAGTCACCTGGACTGGACAGTGGGAGGTGGGCAGGAGGTGGGCACCCCGTCCCTGTCCCCCAGGCGCCAGGACCTGCAGGCCGATGGTCCAGGTGAGGCTGTCCTCAGGAGGCGGGGGAATGGGACTGCTTCGTGAGCCCCTTCCCCGTGATCCCTTCCTCCTTGCCCCCACCAGAACAAGGGGCCAGGGCCAGGGAGCCAGAGCTTTCACAGAGACACTTGAAGTGGCCATTCCTCTCTGGGGGCCTGGCCTGGGGGGGAGAGCGTCTGTCAGCAGACCCTCCCATCTTCCCTGCCCTCTCTAAGTGCACCGTATTGTGTATAGCCGGTGGCATAGCTTCATTGTAATGTACATTTCCCACCCCTTCTCCAACCTCGACATGGTTTTTTTGAGCCCCTATTTCCCCACTTCCTGGGGTGTGAGTTTCCATACGAGTCCCACAGGATGCACCGTGAGGGGCTGCAGAAGAGGGGGTGGGGAAACAAGACGGGGCTTCTCTCAGGCCCAGCGGCTGGTCAGCCACACCAGGGCACACCAGCCAATAAACTGAAAGTGTTACAGCCAGTATCGTGTGCCAGATGCTGTCTGGGACATGGGGCGGGGGGGGGTGGGGGGGGTGCGGTGCTTCTCATTCCAGATGTGCAGCTTGCTGTTTCTGAGACCAGCCCACAGCCAGGACACCTGGCCCTGCTGGCTGCACTTCCTTCCCTCGATTCCAGGACCCCTGAGGGTGTGATTTCACACTCAGGCACACACAAACACAGCCTCCTAGCACACTTCAGCCTGCAGGCGTACCGCATATACACGCACTGCTCATAGCCCTCCCACACAACGAGAGGAGTGGAACATTCTGTAAAGAGGCTGTTTGGGGGCGGGAGTGGGGGGAGGTAAGTAAAAGGGGATAGGCATGTGTCTGTCCAGCTGGTGTCCATCTATGTCTTCTGTCTCTGACTGGGGAAGGGGTGGGTGGGCTGGAGGGTGTCCCAGGAGAGCTCGCCAGAAGCCAGAAAACTGGCATCAGCCTGAATGGATCTACTGACTGGCCCTGAAACTCTGCCTTCCTGAAGGTCAAACACCCAGTGCTGGCCCCCTGCAGGTCCTTCTCTTCTCATGGAGACAAGAGCCAGACACTAGGCAGCCACTGAGCAAACATTCCAGCTCTGGCCCCCTCTCCCAAGGCTGTGTCTTGTCTGGCCTCCTCCTTCCTGCCACTGCCCCCTCCCTCCCCAGACAGCAGTGAGGCACAGACCTGTTTCCCAGAGACCAGGAGGAGAGAAGCCACATCCCTGCCCCTTCCATTCAGAGGAGCCTCTCTCTCCCTTTACTCTACATGGATCTCAAAGGGAAAGAAAGAGAGAAGACCCACGTTCTTATGCCTGGGCTAGCCCCTCCCACATTTCAGAGCCAGGCATGCTGCTCCAACCCCCAGGGCTCCCTGAGATCCTTCAGTGGGTCTGTAGGTCTTTTACTGGCCTCAAGCTCCGCCCTATTGCAGAAGCACATGTTGTGCCTTATGCTCTCTGGACTGTGGGAGGGGACATACCCCTAGGCAGCATTATGGTACGGTACACCCCAGATGGGCCCTTGAAGCAGAAAGCAGTAGTGGAAACCAGACACATTGCTGGCATCTGATGTGTATGCAGGACCCTCTCCTTCCAGGAAGCCAGCCTGCTCCCACTGTCAGGCTGCAGCCCTCTCTTTCCGTCCTGAGAGCAGATGAGGCCTTGAGGTCCTGCAAGAAAGGGGGGATGGCCCGAGGGGTTCCTGCCTATTGCTCCAGTGAGGTCACAGGCTGTGACATCATAACCACCCTTCCCGGCCCCCACCTCCTCTGACCTCGGTGGTCAGGACAGCCTGGAGGACCATGAGTAGAATGGAAAGGCCCGCAAACCATTGGAGCTGCCTGGGCATCTCACCCAGACACTTTGCCATTCCCACTTGGCAGAATTTGTAGTTGGTGGTCACAGCTCTCCTCACCAGCCCTCCAGGGCCCTCTGAAGCTCAGAGGACCCTACTTCCAGTTCACAAGTCACATGCCCAGAAGGAACCAGGCTCAGAACTCCCCGGACTGTGGAGAGTGGCCTGCAGCCCAAAGCGAGTACCCAGTCTTCCACCCCGAACAAGGGCTCTGTGAACAGCAATGCCACAGCCAGAGGCAGCTCAGGATTGACTCATGCAGCCACCCCAGATGCCTGTCCCAAGACTTCATCACCACCATAGACCCAGATCCCTCTAACGACTTAGGAATCATGCTGGTGGGCCTTCCCTGTCTTCTCTGGGCCTATCTTCAGAGGCTGCCTCCCAGTGGTAGAGGCTGCTCAGGACCTGGCTGCAGGTCATTAATATATATTCCAGAACTTTATTCATGCACTCTTCAATGCTTTGCTCACCCTCACCTTCTGCCGGCTTCAGGGTTCTAGACTAGACCAACTCCAGTGTGGCTACCATCAGCTCAGTTGACTCCATGTCACGGGAAGGTACTCCTGCTCCCACAACTGTCTCCAAGCTCCAGAGGGCCCCCTGAGGGCCCCCTTGGTTCTGAGTACATGGCCAGTAGTGGAAGAGCTGGGATGGATCTGCCCGACTTCTAGGTTGAGATAAGCACCTGAAGCTTCAGACTTGTCCTTCCAGGAGCACCCTTGTAGCCTTCAGAGGACAGGACAAAAGAATTAGGAGATACTGATCCAGGAGACCTGAATCTGCCATGGTTTGCCCAGTGGTGCTGGTCAGCTATTTCCTCCCTGGGCCTCTACTCCCCAAGCCTGTCATCCTCCCCAGCAACCCTCCTCCCTCCTGCCACTGCTGAGACAGACAAGAAGACTCAGGGTCTGTCTAGTCTCCAAGCAGCCAGAGAGCAGGGTTCTTCATGGCGGGGGGGTGGGGGCGTGGGGGGGTGGATGTCTAGGGCCAAGTTTGGCTCAACTATAGTGGAAGGAAAGTCACGTGCCCTGTACCTCTGCTTCACTGTTTCTTTCCTCTTTTTCCCTTCCCCCTCCCCCAACCCTAACCCTATATGCTTCTCTGTCATGAAAAAGGTCACAAACTTGCATGCAAACATAGCCGGTTTTGAACATCAGTGCTACCATTTGGTGGCTGTGTGCCCCTGGGTGAGTCATTTAACCTCTCTGAGCCTCAGTTTCTTCATCTAGACACATGGAATGACAACACTTCACAGGGTTTCAAGGAAGGAATGAGATAACCTTTGAAGAGATCCTGGCAAATAGGAGGCTCTCCATAAATGGACCTTCTTTTCCTTTCCTCTGCCAGACAATTTTCCAGTTCCTGGACTACTCTCTTTCTATGCAAAAAGGAAACTTCTGGGTACACTAGTTTCCAGTCAAGCATTAGGAGCTTAGGGCAGATGTACTCCTGCCAGAGAAGGCAACACTTAGCCCGCAGCAAGGCGGGGCTTGTGGGGCAGCAGGAGACATTTCTGGCTAGCTGGTAGCCTTTCTGGGCACCTCCCAAGTCACACCCTGTGCTTGACTGTCCCTACACACAGGCTGATTCTAGAATCTGTGAAAAGATTTGCTGCTCCAGTTTGCAAAAATAGCAGTGTCTGATTTGGGGAGTGGGGATAGGGCAGCCAGCTGTCTTCCCCAGAGAGCCACAAGGCCCTCCCCACTCCCCCCCAACCCAGCCTCCTGCTGACCAGCCTGCTTCTCCTGCTCCAGCCTCCTCCCAGCCCCACACCCTCCCCTCCCCCATCCCAGGAACATCTGGTTCCAATCTCCTCCAGATGCTGTGGCCAAGCTGTTTTACGGCCAATCACCTCAGCTCAGCTTCCTGAAGGCCTCCCTCCATTTGGGGGAATGGTCCCTCCTCATCCCTTTCCTTGGGACCCCAGCCACTTCTTTTCCTAACACAGAGAAGAGACGCACACCAAAACCATACAAAACGGTGAGGGTCCTCAGGACTGGCACCTCCCCTCCCACTACCTTGGGAGAACTGTCATCCATTCAAGATTAAAAGAACGTTGCTAGCCCAGAAGGGAAGGAATAGATAGGCAGAGGAGACCAAAACAGGGAGGTGGAGGCATGAGTGTGTGTGTCCATGTGTATGTGTTGAGTCTATGTGTTTGTGCTATGCCCCACTTATAACCTGGAAACACCCCTTGGTGGCCTCTGCCTCATTTTCCCTCCCTGCCTGTACTGGAGCGGGGCTAACTTGGAATCCCTTGGCTGGACAGTGGCAGCCACAGCCCAGGGTAGTCCCTCACCTTGTGGCTCTCTGTGGCAGCCAAGCGTGTCTTCTAAACCCAGCACGGGGAGGTGGTGTTTCCGTATGTTTGCGTGTGCACCCACTCTCATGTAGACCTCTTTTCCCTCCACCAGGTCAGATTAGAGAAACACAGGCCAGAAGGGACCCCAGGGCAGATTCCAGCGAGTGCCCTGACCCAGCTCTGACGCGCGCCTTGAGCAGCACAGGGCTGGCAGTATGCCAGAGAGCAGCCATCTGGAGAGAGGAAGGAGAAGCAGGCTCTCTGGAGAAACCTGCATGTGGCTCCACCCCCACCCCCACCTCAGTTTGCTGCCTTCATCCCCCACTAAGAGGACACTGGGAGTCAATCTTTTCCTAAGAAACCCAGAGGGCTCACAAAAGGAAGACTAAAGCCTGCTCCTCTGGGAGGATTCCAAAAACCCCTCTGGGGTGGGGTGGGGGTGTCCTGACCAGAGGTGGAAGGATGGATCCTGGAGGTCACTCCCCATCCATGGAATTCTGGACACCAGTGCTGCCCACTACTCCTTTAAAAGAAGGCTCCTTGGCATTTGTGACTCCACAGCCCCCTCTGGTGTTATTCAGGATGGAGGCGCAGCCTTGGTCAGCCAGAAGAGATGTGGAGGAGACCCTTGAGAGGGCCACATATTCAGATGGGCCTGCCCATGTCTTACAGCCCAGGTGGTCCCTGGCATACATGAGGGAGGACAGGACAATGCAATGGGAAGATTCCAGCCTCTGAATCAAACCCAGGCACTGTCGCCTACCTGGCAATCCTTTTAACTTCTTTGTGCCTCAGTTTCTTTATCTGTTAAGTGGGAATACTACAGCACAGGGCCATTGTGAAGCTGATGTGTGTGAAAGCACCTGGCCAGATGCCTGGCCCATAATAGGCCCTCAGGAAGTGGTCATTTGCCCTTCAGCTTTCCCCTAGCCCAAGGAGGCTATGCCCCAAGCTCTGGATGACACATGTTCATTTGGCCCTGAGCCCAGGCAAGTGTCAGCGAGGTGACTCTAATTTTTCTGGAGCTTTCATACTCTGGCAGAGGATCATTTTAATAAGTCCATAATAATAGACGCAGAGGTGACTCAGATCTGCAAATGAGGAGCCCTGCTGGGGAGGGGACATTTGGGCTCTGGGGGAGGGAAATTCAGTAGCATCTGGGGTTGATGCAGTGTCAGGCTGCTGCACTGGGAAGGGCTCCAAAAAGAGGACCTTGGTTAGGTCTCCAGATTGCTATAGGTTCTCCTCTAAGAAACCTCAGTTTCCCCTTCTGCAAAGTGCAAGGTCATAAGTACCAAAAGACCTTCAAAGTCCCTTCCAAGCTAGAGATATGGCTCTGCTCTCTGAGCTCTGCCTCCCACAGCAAGATTTGGAACACCCTTGGAGACAGTTCCAGATGTCTTGTCCTGGGGGGCATCCCCATTTGAGTTCCTCTGTGCTTGTGCAACTTGCCTAGTCAGAACTACCCCTCCCAGAGCCCAAAGAGAGTCGGGGCTCTCAGGCCATGGTGGTTTATTGATGCAAGCACAACACAGGCGGGTGTGCCCCCAGCTCAGGGCAGACACAGGGCCAGGGGAGAGCAGTGGGCCACCCCCACAGCAATGCTGTCAGCAGAGGCGGAAAAGGCCTGGGGGCCCATGTCCTCTCCTCCATGCATCTCCCAGGGCCCCCAGACCTGTTCTGTGCCACAGAGACAGCTGACCACACCACTCCCTGTGGCTACACAAGAGGCAACCAGCTGTCCCACCTGTGCCCTTACTGAGATATGGCCTTGTTGGCCTGCTGGCCCCTTCTGTACTTCATCACAGAAATCCGGCTCTCACTGTGGGGGCTGTTGTCCTCTGCCTGACATCACCTCCGTCATCCCCCAAACAGCTAGCTGCCTTCATCCACACCTCTACCCAACACCCCCCTGACCTGGTCCGCTTATCTCAGGGGTTCACCCTCACCACCCTCATGACCCATACAAAAGTAGGAAATTGGCAAAAACGCTGGGAAGCCCAGGAAGACTTCATCAAGAACTCCCCAGGGAAGGAGCTCTTTGCCAACAGGCTCGCAGTGGGGAGCAGACAGTGCCGGTGGGTGGGGTGTGAGGTGCGGTGGCAGGGAAGCCACAGTCCAGGTCACACACAGGCACAGAGCAGTCACGGAACCGTGGCAAAGAGAGCGAGCAAAGCGCACAGTCAGGCAGGGTGCCAGGGCTCTTAGGGAAAGCCCTCAATTCTAGTTCCACACTGGGTCCCCTCGGAGCGTGAGGCCGCCCATTCCTGGCCTAAAAGGGGTACCTCTGGGTCTCAGGGGTCTCTTTCCCCCTCCTCAACCCCAGTGGCTGCCATTGGGGGAACCAGACCTCAGTGCTCTGAGCAAGAGAGAAGGTATGCTGGGGTATTTATCATCTCCAGGTAAGAAAGGAAAAGTCCCAACAGCCCGGAGCCCCCAAAGCCGAGAGGAAAAAGAGGGCCCCTTTCTAGAGGGCAGGTGGAGAAAGGAAGGGACAGCTCTCCCCATGCAGGAAGAGGGTGCTGGGAGTCAAGGAGCAGCTGGGGGGCAGAGCGGTGCAAGAGACTATGTATAGAGGGAAAGGGCCAGGCCTGAAGTGGGAGGTCCCCGGCCCAGCAGAGCGGGGAGGGGCATTCTGTGGTTGGCCCTGAGTGGGGTGGGCGGGGCTAAAAAGGAGCACCCCGCATCTCTCTGCTGTGCCTCTGGGGGCGGGCAAGCAACTCGTGGGCTTTGGCTAGGGTGGGCTGCTCAGCGAAAGCCCCCAGGCTGAGAGTCTCCGTTAAGTGGAGGCCGGAATGAAGCAAGAAACAGCAGGACGGGGAAACCGGGAATGGGGAAATCTCCAGAGATCTACCCTCCTTCCACCAACCTACCGCGGCTAAGAAGCCTTTCCAAGTCCGCCAGACGTTGAATAGGCCACGCCCACCAAGGGGACCGCCCTCTGTTGCCTCTAACGCCTGCGG